GTTATCTTAACAGGTGTTTATTGGGTTATTCGATAACGATCCGATTCGTTATCGTGTCGATCCAATAACCTGTTAATTTTATGTCATTTCGTATTGGATTAACGAATCGTGTCAAAAGTTATCAGGCCTACCTCAAGTGCTTGAATAATTGTTTTAATCAAATGCAAGACCTCAATTCCTTATGCGGCAATTCGCCAATTTTTGTATTTATTCATGCCAGGCGCTCCTTAAAAGTTGTGGCTCGTGGACTAGCCAAAATGACCTTTTATTATGATTTTGAATACTTTATGTTTGATCAACTACCAAATATTATCCGAAATTACTTGATGATTGTACCGTTTCAAAGTATCAATAAAACTATTGTTTCGCTAAAAAACTTATGTTGTTCTAAACTTTGTTATTTACCAAATAGATCTAATATCTCTCATTTACGTTACTAGGCTGTGAATCCAACTTATGAAACAAGAAAATTTATGTTCTAAAATTGTATAACAATAATTTATTATAATGGTGGTGATCTTAACATCACATAGCTTTTCCTTAAATGAATTAAAGATTTGTGAAAAATTTAGGTTCATCGAGACTTATCTAATGACAATGACTATGGGTGTAAAAGCTTTCCACAGTAGGTTAGAAAAAGTGTGATACCAATCATATAGGAATCACTCCTACAATTGGGCTGAAAATTTTAATTATGATATCAATATTGTATCAAGTTCAAATTATCTGATTTTTATATATAAGGGTTAATAATTGGGTGCCACTTGTCATTAAGATGCCCACATAAAAATTAAAAATTAATTTTCTTTCCTTTTTTTTTTTTTTTTAAAAAACAACTTTTCTCTTCCCCCTCCCTCTTCAACTCCTTATCCCTCACACTCCTCCATCTTCACCTTCCCAACCCACCTCCTCCCTCTCCTCCACCATCTTCACCTCCCCTCTCTATTATGTCCCCAGATTAACCTGCACCCAACCCTAATCCCTAAAATTTTATTAGCTCGAATTTTATCCCTAATTTTGGGCATTCCTTGGATTGAGTTTTCACGGAAGGAATCGATTTTGGCAGAGTCGACGAGGACGTTGGAGATGTTGATGAAGTGGGAGTTCTGGGCGTTGAAATGGGTGAGACAAGTGGTGGCGAATTCGCCAGGCAGCTTGTTGTTGAACATGACAACTCCTACACTAGTGCCATAGGCGATAAGGTCACAGGTCTTGAGGGAATTAGAAGAGGACAAAAAGACACGGCTGAGTTGGGAGACCAAGGCGTCTTTGAGAAAGCAGTCGAAGGAGTCGCGCATCTTGGGACTTCTTTGACGATGAGCTGCGAGTGACGGCGTGTTGCGAGGAGATGAGGTGTTGCAGACGAGAGGAGAGGAGGCATCTTGGGATTGGGTTTTTTTGGGATGTAGGGTTTTGGCCGTATCTCTGTTCATTTTAAATTTTTAAACTTTTAAATTTCCACATGGACCTTTAATGGCACGTGGCATCTAGTCATGTCGACATAGACGTCACATCATCAATTAACGGCCGACTTAACAGTCAACTTAATAGATGTATGAGGCTGTTCCAAAATTAAGACTTGAGGTCTAACTCTAAGATGAAAAAAAAAAAACTTATGTATCAAATGTTGAAAACCACAAAATTTAAAAAACTAATGAAAAAGACTTGAAAACTTTAAGTTTTAATGATAAGGACAAAATAATGCGTAAAGTGAATAGTACCAGGATTGACTTTTTAGTGTAAAAATTTAGTTTTTTGTTAAAGTAAACAGTACCGCGAACTTTCGTTAAAACTCTCTTGAAATTAACCCTTTATATATATATATATATATATTTATTTATTTATTTATTGCACTTACACAACCTGCCGTAGATTGACCTAACGTGCACCACTTTAAAATGGAGAGAAATGTACACTCAAACCAATGTGAATGTGACATAATTAACTGGAAAGTGATTGCACTGCAGCAGGACAGCGCGTTAGCTTTAGCTAAAACTAGCCATCTTTATTATTTATGTCTGACAAAAGCTTATAGCCTTCCAATATTAAAGTCTTAATCACACATGTAGGCCCCATTAATTAATTAAATAATAGAAGCAAATAAAATAACTATGTACTAATTGGAAAACCTTGGAAGAATGACAAAATCCTCAGGCACAGACACCTCATTCTTTAAGCCAAATGGAGATAAATAAACGGCTAATTAATTAAAAAGCTTTAAATCTGTAGGGTATTGTCGAGGTTGTTCGCAGGTATTTTAATAGGAGTTCGTTTTCAAAGAAACCGACGTTATCCATTTTTAATTTGCCTTTTAATTATTGTAAGAAAGAAAATTTGATTAATCTTTGTCGTTGTCCACATTGGGGCATGTTCGCCTCAAATATTTTCAGTTCAATTCTTTTAGTTTATTGTGCATGTATTAATTTTCTTTTAGTTTATTAATATAGGTTTAACATAATTATATCATTGCTACTTGATAATATTACTCTTCATTTGTAAGAAAGATGTATTCGGTTCAATTCTCGGTAAAGATAAATTTAAATCACATTATTGCTAATTCATTATAACGCTAAGCCTAATCCTCTTCATTTTAGTGTAGATAATTTTTTTTTTTGTTTTGTTAAAAAAAAACATAATTATATCATTTGGTTCGTAAGTTTTGACCGAATTAGAACTTTCATGAGGAATGTCATCGCTAAAATTGCATAACGTATATGGATCAATGATCTTTTTAAATAACACAGTTCAAATTTTCATCTAAAGTAAAATATTTGAAGAAACAAACAGGGAATGAAAGTTCTAACAGAATTAATATACAAGATTCTAAAGCTCTAATCCGACTAAATTCAAATACCACTGCTCTAATTTTTTTTTTTTTTTCTTTTCCTTCTAAATAATATAAAATTGCGGATTAAACAAAAGCCTTATAAAAACAGAACTGCTTAGGGTGAGTAATGTAATCAAGTGGGTGCTTCAATCAAACATGGCCCATGTGGCTTGATGAGTAGGTGTCCCAAAAAAATAATCAGAAAAAATGGAAAAACTCAGTAGGCAATGAGAGGCTACGAGACAGGGAACTGTGTATAATAATAGCATAAGGAATTGTAACTTAAAAAAATGTCTTAAAAAAGAAGAAAATAAAAACAAAAATTAAAAAAATAAAAGAGGAAAAAAGAAACGTTGCTTTTTAAGGAGAAATTTTTAGGAGTGCCGGGAACACCATGACACATGGTGTTCCCTCACTCATAAAAATTTGATTTGATTTATTTATTTATTTATTTATTCAAAATTTTATGAGTGAGGGAACACCATGTGTCCATGGTGTTCCCTGCACTCCTAAAAATTTTCCCTTTTTAAGGAGGGAGGAGAATGACGCGTTACGTGTTTGGTGCATTACATACAAAAATAATGCAAGACATGAAACATGGTTTGACAAAATTCAATCCAACCATATTATTCGCCTGCCCTTATCATTGTTAAACACATCATAAACTAATGCTGTTTTAAACTCAAATGTGTGCTTCAAAGAGAGGGCTATTCAAACTTGGATACAAAGTGTTTCACCCTATTCTATTCAACTCGGCTAAATCGAGTTCTGTATGTTACCTTTATGTATTTAATTAGCCTGACCAATAAAACTCTGCCCAATCAAATCTAGCATCTAGCAGCTAGATGCTAGATTTGATTGGGCAGAGTTTTATTGGTCAGGCTAATTAAATACATAAAGGTAACATATTGTATAAATAAATATCTATTTATACTTAAAAATACATAATTATATTGGATCATAAATTGAAAAATAAAATAACACATAAATTATAATGTATTTAAACATGTTAAAAACATGGAAAACATGTATATAATGAATGAACATCCAAGTATTCAATAAGTCTCTTACATTTTATTGAAAAATTAAAATGCAAAATAAAAATTATCAATTTTCTGTTTAAGTGAGCGGCGCGATCTAAGCGGGTGCCTAGGTAGATGCCAGACACCTAACACCTATGTTTTTTAATGCATAGGGACTAATTCTAATGGTAGCCAGCCGCCTAACACCTATGCAGGGCCTAGACAATGCTAGGCGGGGATCTTAAGACAAGTGTTAATAAGGACTAACGGATAGTTGGAAACGTTTTTGGAGGTCACGAGTTTAAATCTCATAGACGAGAGTTGTCAACAGAACAAATAGGACCGTCTAACGGGAAACGAGAGAGTTCTAACCTTGACACAATAATGTGATGGAGAAAATAAGCCTCGTACCTGAAACATTGCGTGTTTTTTAGAATTGAGGAACTACTTATACATGGAAGTCCCTTAAACCCTACAAGAAGCATGTGATCAAATGGGCAACTCACCAACCCTACAATTTTATGTTATAATTAAGTACTTAGAAGAAGGACCACATAGAGACATATTAATATATCACTGTAATTCTAGACTCCTAATGACCGAAGCACGACAAACCCGAGGAACAAGCTTTTGATCTCAACCAACTAGGTTAGTTGTTCCAAAATTGCGTTAAATTGCTTCTAGTGACCGGGAATTTGATGGGATCCCTTTAATCCTAGTTACAGCAAGAGGGGCAACAAATACTTCATTAGGATGCTACTAACTGCTAAGCGGAATCACAGAGAACTTACAGGAGCAAAAGAGCGAAAGAAACCCCATGCTAAAAGAATGATAACAAGGTGTTGCTAAGTGGAATCACAGAGAACTACAGGAGCAAAAGAGCGAAAGAAACCCCATGCTAAAAGAATTGTCATGCATGAGATATATGTTTTCAACATGATGCACACAAAAAGGAAATTATAAATCGAACTGGCAAGCACATGAACTGGCAAGCACATGAACTGCTATCTATAAAACCCAGCAGAGAGAATAGTATTCCGGCAATCAATCTCTATGCAAGCGAACTTAATACAGCAAATAAATGAACTACCGTCTATAAAATCCATAGAATTGACAAAGCTGTAATAAGTTATCTAGAAACCCGGGAGACGGATTAAAATCCGGCAAGTTCTTTTCCATTTCTAGATCATTCGTTGTCAAGTACACAACATATCATCACCCTCTTAACCAGAAGAAAATGCAGCTTCCCTCTTAAAACATTTAAGTACCATAGCAGCAATATTCATGTCCAAAATAAATAACAATCTACTAGGCTTGCCTGTTAGATGATTTGTTCTACCGAGAATACTAGTCCGTCTGACTAGATATACAATAAGCAAAGGGGACTCACAAACACGACAATTCATAAGGATTAAGTCATAACAGAGGTGCCAATAACATAGTTCAATATTTATTGACATATTATCAGAGTAGAGTAAGCTGGAACCTCTGCGATAAATTGTGAGGGGCCAAAAACCAACCTCCCCTGCTTGTCAAAATGCTGCTCCTGCTCCTCAGCACCTCCAAGCTGAAGCGGAGATGAGCTCTCGACGCTGCCAGCATAGAACAAGTGACTCTTGACGCTTCTCGACATGGAATCCCCTTGCTGGATTCCTCTTCACCACACATTCCGCCTGAGTTTCAGTGAAGTTACTGAAGGGTACAGGAGTGAAACCGGCGGAGGCAAAGAGTGTTTTCCAAAGGGGCATCTTGTCTGGGGTTCGGAGACGCCCCAGAACAGTGCTCTCAATCTTGGGCTGAAGGAGGAACCTCTCAATCTTGTTCACAGCATCGGAAGTCACATTAACAGCATCAAGTGATTCCAAAAGGTGTATGTACGACTGGAGGGCCTGCAGAATGTGCTGTGGGAATGGGAGGTCACTTCTATCACACCCTCTATCCAAAGATACCACAATTTTGGGAGATAGCTGCTTCACAAAGCGAAGGACATTAGGCAAAGCAGCTGGTTGATTCGAAGTAGACCAAATGGGGAAATTCACAGCAACTGCCTCATTATCGTTGGCTCGAAAAATGGGCAGGGAGTATGAGTTTTGGTCCAGAGAATCAATGTTAACCACTTCAAGATCAAAGCTTATACCAATCTCATTAGCGAATTGTGTCAAATTATCACGCATAAGCCTGAGTTCAACTGGGTGGTGAGTCGAAGGTGAAGCAAAGGCAGTGATTCTGAGTGAAGGGGCAGAAGCACCCCTATTCCTGATAGGAAGCTCCTGCATAAAGGAAGCCCAATGAGCACCAAAACCAATATCGAAATCAACAATGTGAATCTGATCAGCGTCGGAGAGGGCCTCGAGGAGGGCCTGGTTGCAAGTGAAATTGACAAACTGAAGGAGCGGAGAAACTTCGGAGAAGACTTTGTAAGCCCCCATTTTGAAGATGATATCAAATGGGGTCGGAGTTCTCGGTGGTGGAGAGGTGGCAGGATTGTTCATGAGGAGGAGGAGTTGCAAAGCCTCCTTGAAATAGAAAGCAGCCCTCTGAAGGGGCTTTCCAACAGGGGAAAGCTGGTGATTGAGCCGCGCCAATATCCCTTGCGCGTGTGAAAAGTTCCCAGTCCCTACCAGCTCTGCGGCCTTATAGAGCTGGTCGAGCAAAGTATGCCGAAGCTGTTGTTGCTGCTGCTGGTGAGCCATTTCTTCACCATTTCCCAGCACAACCTTCTGTTTCGGCACCATTAACGGCTTCTGCTGAATGCGATGCTGCTGAGGCAGAAACTGCATCCCTTGAGCAAACCCGAATTGCTGCTGCTGCTGCTGTTTTCTCATAAAAAACTCTTGCCCTGGATCATAAAACTGACCCTTTTGGATCTGATGAGTACTCGGGTCTACATTTGTGCCTGAGTTGTGGCGTTTGGGCTGGGACTGAAGCAGGTGGTGCTGTTCTTGCTGGGCATACGCCAGTGGCATGAAAAAGTTCGGATTCTGAGCCACCTGAGGCTGCTGATTCTGGTTGCTCATGAACAGCTGGGGGTTCAGAATCTGCGGCTTCTCGTCCGGGCTTAATTGCTGCTGCCCGTAAACCGCAGGCAAAGATACCGGCAGAGCCAAAGTGTTAGACGAATTCGAGAAAATGGGGTTTTGAATGTTGCAATTGACACTGTTGCTGCCGCCATTGTTGTGCATCAACTCAACATTTGAAACCTTGTAATTTAGCAACCCAAAAGACCCAGAACCCGGAGGAACAAAACCCAGCTTCCCATTGCTGCCTTTGTTACTGCCGTTCCAACCGCCGAACCCGAAATTCGGGTCCGAAACGCCGCCGTTTCCAATTAGGTCGAAATTAGGGCCCTGATCGACGACTCCCAACCCGGCATTGCCGTCGAAATCAAGGGGGCTGTGGTGGTGGTGGTGGTGGTTGTTCCCGCTCTGCAAGAGCTGCTTGAGCCCAAACGACGTGTCGTCCACATCCCCGGCGATCCACCTCAGCGACTGGTCGTGACCCGGAGACGCCGCCGTTTCGGAGAGCATGGTCTCCCAATCCTCCAACCCGCCAAGCCCAAGGCCGCATCTCTGGACTCCTCCTGCCGATCCGGTCACGGCCTCCAAACCCCCACTCGGAATCGACTGGAGCTCGCAGGCCCACTCATCTTTCGACGACGTTGGTCGCACCGCAGGCGGGGTCTCAGCTGCCAGCGGCGTCGATTTGTCGCCGCCACCGCCGCCGTTGTTGAAAGAGGAAGAGAGAGTGGAAGCCGAAGTGGGTGGGCTCGGGCTTCTTCTCATATGAAGAACCGAATTGGGCTCACTGGTCGGAAAGCTGTGGTGGTGGTGGTTGAAAAATCCGTCGTCTTTGTACTTGCTGCAGCTGCTGTCTGTGAAAATTGCCGGCAAACTTGCAGTTGCTATTTCGATGACCCCCTTCCCCTGCTGGAACTGAAAGGGCATCCCTCTCGTAAATTGCACAAATTACGCAGCAAAAAAAAGCTCAAATCTTTGCAAAAATGGCGTCTTCTTTCCAGATTTGTGCAGAAAAATCTCTTTTCAGCTCAAACAAAACAAACCCATTTCGTAAAAATTCATAAAATCAGCTATTTCTTTTCCATCACTGGGAAAGTTGCCTGTTTTCCTGCTCAGTTCCATCATATCTTCCTTTACCATTTGCCACACACAGCTCCATTTCAATACTCTCTCTCTCTCTAACTTTCTCTCTCTACTTTTTTTTCTCTATCTAGAATTTGCAATTGTTAATATTGGTGGTGGAGGTGGTGTTGTTTATTCTGATCTCTTCTTCTATCCTTGTGTCGCAGCAGAGAGTACTCTGTACCCTTCCCTGTTCTGCCATGGATGCGTGCATCATAAAAAAGGTAATAAAGTGTGCTCTCCCTCCTCACCATCCTCTCTCTCTAGTCCCTATCTCTCTCTCTCTCTCTCTACAATTTTTTAATTTTTTTCTCATTTTATTATTATTCCCCTCTCTCTCTCTCTCTCTCTCTCATATTGCTTGCTGGGTTTTTTCTGTCACTTTCGCAATAGTGGTCACGGTGTTGTCTTTACCAAATTTTACAATGGTAAAAATGGGCGCCTGTGCTTTTTGATAGTAGGAGCACTCCCTCCCTCCTCAGATATTAAGATTACATTTATAGGCCATGTCAGATCCTGTCTTGCGTAATTGCCTTTGCATAGATACAGGACAACTATTCATGTTCAAACTCCAATCTATCTATTCTTGTTTCCTTTCGCATATTGATTTAGGCATGGTATGGGGTTGAGGTGATTTAAAAAAAAATTGGTATGAAAAAAAGTTGAAAGAGTTTTTGGTGTTTGGTAAACATCCCAAAATTAGCTTTTTTTTCAAAGTTCCAAATGAAAAAAAGTTAAAAAGTGGAAGCTGCCAATATTGCCATCCTTTCTCCTTTCTTATTTCTCCCAACTCGGCAACTCCACACTGAGCCACCACATCGTCTCGCTGACTTCCTCCACCTATGGCCTCCTCACTCTCGACCCATCGTCGCCTGCACCCACCACTCCGTTTACATTCCCTTCTCGATTCACTTTCAGGTCCATTTTCCCGAGTCCCTTGTCCCAGCCCAAATCTCTAAAGTCCGAACCCAGGTCACTATTGTCCTACCCCAGACCGCTGTCTTCCGACCCAGAAGTCATTAACTCATGGGAGCTTATGGACGAGCTTGATGTCGATAGCTTTAGATTATCACCGCTTCCGCCGCCCAAACCCTTCGTTTTCTTAGACCCAAAAACCCCCTGATAGAGAAAACTCCAACCTGAATCGCGCAATTCTTAAATCTTCATACGAAAGCGTCTTCCAGGTGAATAACAAGAAGGACCCACTTGACCAGTTCGAGAAAATATGCCCACCGGGCAGAGAAAACAAAGTCATTGTCTACACGACGCTACGAGGAGTGCGGCGGACTTTTGAGGAGTGCAACGCGGTCCGAGCAAAGATAGAAGGCCTCAGGGTGAGGATTGTCAAGCATGACGTGTCAATGGATCTTGGGTTCAGAGAAGAGTTGAGTGACTTGATGAAGGGGAAAGGGAAGGAGGCGGCGGTGCCGCCACGGGTGTTTGTGAATAGGAGATATATAGACGGCTCTGAGGAGGTGCTGAAGATTTTGGAGGAGGGTTTGTTGGGTGAGATTCTTGTTAGGTGTCCAAAGAAAAAAGCTGGGTTTGTGTGTGAAGGGTGTGGGGAGGCAAGGTTATTACCAAACACTATCATACTGTTACTTTTTCCAAAATCACTTTTACAAAAAAAGTTTACCAAACACTGCTGCTTATTCTCACAGCACAGCAGAAGCAACTTTTTTTTCAAAGCACATCAATACCAAACCAGCCCTTAGATCTTCAAATCATAAAAATAACTATGCTTCTATCGGGCAATGAATTAAGAGTAAATCGTAGCAATGGTCCTTCAACTTTAATCAAATTGAAGCAATGGTTCCTCAACTAAAAATCCATTAACATTGGTCCCTCAACTTATCAAAATGTGTAGCTATGGTCCTTTTCATTTCGTTAGAATTTTGTCAAAATAAGTTATATTGGAAGGACCATTGTTACAATTGGGGTCCCTCAACTCATCAAAACATGTAGCTATGGTCTTTTTCGTCAACTTTGTTAGAATTTTGTCAAAATGAGTTATGTTGGAAGGAACATTGCTACAATCGGGTTAAAGTTGAGAGACCATTGCTCTAATTGGGTTAAAGTTGAGAAACTATTTCTCCAGTTGGATTAAAGTTGACAGACCAATGATAATGAATTTTTAGTTGAGGGACTATAGCTACACGTTTTGATGAGTTGAGGGACCAATGGTAATAGATTTTTAGTTGAGGGACCATTGCTCTAATTGAGTTAAAGTTAATGAACCATTGCTACAATTTACTCATGAATTAATGCAAACCAGTCTCATAACTTTCTATTTTATTTTAAGGAAAAGTAAATTTATCTAAGAAAGAAATCTCTAATACAACCATTCTCAGTACAATCAAACAGAAAAATATAGAAATGGTGGTGGTGAGAAAATTTGTCTCGCGAAAGATATGTGACCAAGCAATAAAAGAAAAAAAAAACTGGCAAGAAACCTGATGTCGTCAATGATTGTCCTCAGCCGCCAAGGTGTATTACACTTGTTCAAAATGGCATCAATGTAAGCTTGGAATATCTTTCAACACACGTCCTTACAACTTTTGACCTTTGCATATCTTAAAGCATCACAAAGAGCAAGAGCTTCAACAACAGAAATTGTACTTTCTCCAAGATTGCGGGTAGCCAGCCACAATAGGTGAACTGTTAGCATCTCTTATGACAAAACCAGCAACAGCTTTAGGAACCACCACCGAGCCATAAAAATTAATTTTGAGTTTAGGTGCATAAGGTGGCCTCCACTTGATAGTTTGAGATGAATCATGAACATGAGTTGCATTCTAGATATGAATTGATCTTAAATTTTTATTGATGAGGTGATATTGCCTGCCAACTACATTAACAACCATAGGGACCCTAGCATGATTGGCCTTGCAATCACAAAAAACAAGATTATTTCTATCATTCTACACTTGCCAACAAATTCGAAGAGATTTACTTAGATCAGAAAGTTCAAATTCATAATTCGCATTTAGTTGGGATAGCCAAGAAATCAAATTTGAACTCGCATTCACAAGTGTTGGACCATTGGAGATCCACCAAACATCCTAAAGAAGCTGCAATTGACAAAGAGATGTTGTTGATCTTCTTCATCATTATTACAAAAAAGGCAAACAAGGGTAGTATTCAGAAAGAATCTAAGCAATCTTTTTCATCTCATAACTTCTTGAAAAAAAAAAAAAAAAATCTAATTATCTTTCTTTTAAGTTGTGTAATCCTGTCCCTAAATTTCACTATTTAAATTTTATATTTAGTAGTTTCAACGCGTTTATATTTACTGTGTAGAATTTTTTTTAAAATTTGTAAAAAGACTATAATACCCCTCTGAGGCTAAACATAATTCTACATGGACGTATTTGATCCATTCATGTATTTTTTTTCATATTTCTTGGCATATTTGGATAGTACGTGTTGGTATGAACGTGTGGGCATAAGCGGAACGTAATTTGGAATTAGAACGAAGATTTTATGAAACGCAAATACGAAGGTATTTGAGTAATCTTACCCTTTAATTGGACACATTTTTATTTGTCTTTTTATAACCTTATTATGTATGTCGTGTGGGCCCACCCCTCCATAATTCTAGAACTTTCTTCCTTTTTTCTCTCTTTCGAATTCTTTCATCTCTCTCGCCTTCTCTTCTTTGTCCCATGAAACCACACCACATCACCTTCAAATATTGTCGAGTTAATCACCAAACAAGCATCACAGCAGCCTTCCTTTCTTCATAAGCTCGAAGATGAGCTGTGGATCACAAGACAAGGGATTAACGTCCTGAAGCTTTATAACAAGCCGTCTCTTTCTCATTGAATTTCAAACCATTTCCAGTGATCTTTTGGACTCCAAACAGATAAAATCATTTTCTACTCTCCTATAGCTTCATTTTGGTATATGGATCGTGAAATTTGGTGGAGAAATGAGTAGGATTTGGACTTTGAAAATCTTCTAGAAATCTGGCGAGTTTCCCTAGATCTCAGTGACTATGACGACGGAGGGCGACGGACCACGACAGCGACCGAAGAGTGATAGAAGACACGGTAATATTCCTTAGCTCTCAGAATTTTCAGTTAATGAGGTAAGGTATATATCTTGAGGTTTCGTTAGTTTTAATTGAATATTTCGACCGATCTTAAGCGCGCAGCAGTATTTCGGTGCCTAAAACCCAAAATGTTGCCCTGTATCCATTTTGGGCATCCATTTAGCAAAATTCCATTGTTTTAACGTCGTTTTATGGTTGACTGCCACTTAAGCTTGCAATTGGCAGAGATCCAACCGTCGAATCAAAACAAAATTTTAATATGCTGTTTTACAAGCATAGTGAGACCTTAAGGAAGTTACGGATTAGAAATCCGATGTGTGGATCGTCCAAATTGAGTTATGTAGGGTTGTTTACCCTACCTTTGACAATTGACCGACTGTTGACTTTTGGTCAACGTGTCCCGAATCCATCTAGATTGTCTCAAAGGACGTGTACAACGTAAAATTATGTGTTTTATTGATAAAATTCAGAGATAGAACCTGTGATTTGTTTTAGGCGACGAACATATGTGATGCCTCGTTCTTTGTGCTAGGAGTTATAGCACGGACTCCAGGTGAGTAACTTTAATATATGTGATATCAGTAATACCCATGAAATCCCCATGCTAGTATACTTAGGGGATATTGCATTAATTTATACATGTGTTTTATATTAAATTGTTACTTTTAAATTCTACCATATATCTATTTTATGAAATGCGATTTGAAATGAATATTTGAAATGTTTGTAATGTGAGGACTAGTAGAGGACCATTAACCCATTGTCATGGGGAATTTTTGCATCGAACTTGTGCCATGTCTTGTCTCATTGAGCTATTGTAAACTGAGTTCCTTGAATTCGGGGTTTCATTGAGTTGTCCAAAATCGGGTTCCGCTAAGGTTCTGTTGAGTGGTCTAGAATTCTATCCTGTTCAGATTCCGTTGAGTGGTCTAATCCCTTATACTCCGCGATTCTATTGAGTGGTCCAGAATCGTATCCTATTCGGTTCCTTGAGTGGTCCCAAACCTATTTTTTGTTGGATTTCATTGAGTGGTCCAAAATCGCATTCCTTGTCTTGATTAGTTCGTTGATTTCTTTGAATTGGTATAGAATGTGAAAGCTTGGGTGATGTAGGCTTCAGCCAAATTATGTCACACTAGGTCTAGTTTTCAACATATTTATGAATGATATACTTGAAAACCTTTGTAGTTTGATTTAGAAAGGTCGATGGATGTCTATATGACTCATTCAGGATTTATAACGAATTG